TTTTATGGCCATTATAAAGAGAAATAGGGGGAAAATGAAGTTTCGAATAGTTATTTTTTGAAGAATATATGATTAAAAAGTAAGGAAAAATTTGAATTTACGTGCAGAATATTTTATTATATAAATGTATGATTAAAAATGAATACGAAAAATAAAAAGTTTTAATTTAATGTAAGTCAAACCCGGGATCAAATTAGCAAGTTGAAAAACCATTTCTTAATTGGGTAGTTATTAGAAGTATGTATGTATTTATGTATGTTATTTATTTTATTTTTTCTAAATGTTAGTGAAATATCTTTTCGTAGAGTATTTATTCTTCTTCTCATTTTGTCACTCTCAACTCGAGTGGAATGATTATCCTTTTGGTTCCCCTTAACCTTTGACGTGCAAGATTAATCTTAAGTTATTCAAATTTTAATTTGACGAAGATGCAAGTCTTCCTACACGTATAATGGCACACTTACCACTTTACACTAGAAAGATGAGGAAAAGAAAATATACGTATAATGCAAGTATGACTATTCTCACTTATTTACTGCTAAACGATTTTATACGTATAATCTCATTCTTATCTTTAAGAGAGAGGGAAAATTGCACTATAGATCCATGCCCTAACGTTCTAGTAATAAGTTGGTCCTGAACATTTTTTAAAATGATCAATTGATCTTCAAGCTTTTATTATAGATTCACAATTAGTCGCAGATAAAGAAGACGGTCCAAATTTTTGTTATATTGTCGCGTGACCCTTTTATTTTGCATATTATCTTGGATGCGTGTCTAGAAATTTTATATCATACTATGAAACAATTATGTCGAGAGTTTAAATGTATTATAAGTTAGATGTGGAAGACGCAATTTTCGCAAATCAAATTGTACAATTTTCGATGCTGCAATGCAACGAGTTTGGATCTATTGTCCTGTTTCACTACTAAAATTTTGACAATTTGAGCTTCATTTTTTAAAGAGTCGTTTTTAATCATATTTTTTTCCATTAAAATAATTTCACTTGTAAATTCAAATTTTTTAACTATACATTATCATTATTCTCCAACAAATCAGTTTTTCAAAACTCAAACATGACCTTTAATGAACTGTCCTCTAAACTTTGACACTTAAAAATGTAATTAATGGTGAGAGATGGATCGCATGTATTTTTGGAACCCCAATAGTATAATTAAAGCATCCATATTTGAATTTTGACAATGAAAAAGCAATCGTTGAATTTTTGCAAATTTCTAACCCATGCTGTTATTGTTACTATACCCTCTCCATCAATCACCGTTTTCATAGTTTCAAAGCGAAAAAAATAAAAATTAATGATCAGAATTCCCCTCTTGACCTCTTCTTTGTTTTCGGCAATTGATTCTATCCTTTGGCTACGTATTGCAGATAATCTGTATTCATCTAAATATTTATTGGAAAACATATGAAAAATGGATCCAGAGCAGACGTTTATACGGGTTCAAGAGCGATTCTCAGAGATGCTGACGCCCAAAATCAGAGTCACGCTTGAGTATTTTTTTCTTTTCTTGGCCATCACCCTCTTCTGTATTCTCGTTGTTATGCACGCCAATTATGTTCAGCAGGTTTTTCCTCCCTCTCCTCTTCCTCTTTTTTTTCCCTGTTTGACTTTCCGTCTCTGGGTTGATGTTTCTTATTTTGTGTTATTGGGCAGTAAAATATCCAACTAATTATTTTCCAAAGGGTTTTTTTTGTATATATTTGATTTGGAATTATATATATATATTTATGTGTGTATTTAAGTATATTCACTGTTCATAATTTGATGGTGAAGCCTGGTTGTTCAAGTGAGCTTTCTGAAGTGGAGATGTCTGAGGCCCAGCTGATTCAGATTAAGGTTTGTGAATTGTGATTCTCTTTTATGTGAAGCATATTTCTCAAGGCATGTCTACTGCGTATTGTTCTTCATCAAATTTAATTTGTGAGATATGTTTAATTCAAGGATTAAGTTTCTGCTGTGTACTTTTACGTCAAAACGTAGTTGACTCTTGCTGGAAATATATAAATGACGATATTACAGTCAAGAAATGTGTTTGCTGTTAATTGCTGATTCATTGGATTTTTGCTAGTTCAAATGTCAAATTAAAGGCATATTCTTCTTTTCTGATGCAGATTACTAGTGCTGGTTTGTGGTCACAAAATGAGCCCCAGTATGATGCAACAGATGCTCATAAAAGAGAAACTGAAAATGCAATTTCAAAGGCAACAAATGTGGATGGAGATGGATTACCTCTTTTTGGGAAAAAATCGTGGTTGACTTGGATATCTTCTGGTGCAAGGAGGGCGAAATCTCCATTAAAATTCTCGAGCGCTGACAACGATGTTCTGGAATCTCAAGAAGATGTTTGTGTCAGTAGTGAAAGCTTTAAGCCAGCAGCTGATGACGTGGTGGTGAAAACCAATAAAGATGGATCACGTGGCAGGTTCTTTATCTCACCCAAAGAGTCACTCAAGGCAGCAATAGTTCATGTTTTTAGAAAGTGGCATGGGCGTATATCTTTCTTTTGGAGATTGGCAAAACGAATTCTTGGTGGTTTATGGGTGAGGAGTCTGACAATTTGAAATTTACCATAGCGTATGCCTTATTTATCCTTTTTTTTTTTCATTTTCGTTCCTTGTCCTAAAAAAATTAGTGTGTATGTGCATATGCACTGAGGGTTTACCTAAAGCATGGGCTGTGAATTCAAATTGGGATGTAAAAATCCCTCATGTATTTCCTGTACCAAAATGGAATATGTCAAAGGAAGGACTAAGAAGGGGATCTTAGTGCATTACTTATAAATCATTATTTAAAACTGGTGGAGTTTTTAGTGAAGGGTATTATGTTATGCACATAAAAATAATTGTGGTTGCTCATGATTAGGAATGTATAAACCAACTGTGCAATATGGTTTTAAATGTCTTTAAAGAGTTACAAATCGGAATCCTATATGCATCTTTTCTTGTAAGCTGTACTTGTCATCTTAAATAATGAGGAAACAGATTCTATCATATGGACAATTTATTCATGTGCATTTGTGCATTGGATTTTTACTATACTAAACTCTGTCATCCCTTTCCTTCCCCATTTTCTCAATGGGTTTTTTTTTTCCTGGAGTGAATTTGTTTGCTATTGAAAGAGGAGCAAGTAGGGTTTAACACTTGAAAAGTAGTTATTGCACAGTTGAGAATAAGAACTTAGCTGGAGAACAATATACTGACGACATTATCTGTTCTTTCATGGATGTTGCTTGTGAAGCTAATTCCTATCGTATTTGGAATTGGAATACATTGATATCTGTTTAAGTTTTTGATTCTTAGAATCTGTAAAGAGCTGAATTGGAGGGGTTCAATAAGGAGGTTGGAAGGAGAAACTAACTTTGCACTGTTCTCTTAGAGAGAAGAGATGAAAGGCATGTTAGATGGGTGAAAAATAAACGTCTCCTCCATCGGCTTTCTTCCTCCAAAATGGCAGAAAACTGGACAAGCTGGGATTTAGTGTTGTAAACTTGATCACAAGTAGCCTCTTATATTTGAAAATGTGTTAAAAGGTTTTGGGTGACAACGTTGTTCAGTTCTTAATAAATCAATTCTTGGTCTCTATGCAGGATATTGCTGGTATTAATTTGAATTTTGATATTCCCAAGTGGCTTAAAATTTTGCATTTGGACAGGCTGAACTCCTATGCAGGTAAATTTTATATCCTCTGATTCTGTTATCTCACTGTATAATGCCGTATTATAAGCGCTTATGCATTCAAACACATCTATGTGTTTCAGAATCTTTCGTCTGTAGTCCGTGCGTTTGGTTTGTCTATTCTTGACAAAGCTGCAAAACATTTTAGGAAGTATCTCTTTCCTTGGGAGTTCTTGTTGACATAAATTTAGTATGTAAGGCAACTGTGGGAAAAAGGAATCCATCTTGCACATGAGGGGGAGTGTTTAAGACAATTTAAATAAATAAATTTTCCTCTCCATAAGACGTTGAGATTTTAGCTGAGGTGGTTCAACATACCCCTCACGCGATTCATCTTTTTTATCAAACATGCGATATGTGGAATTTTTACAATTGAGTGGTGGTGAGATTTGAATTCACGATTTTTGTTTGATTTGATGATTTGATGCCACATTGAACGACATTATCGAAAAATTTGTACTTAGAGATGAGGGAATTGATTTATTTATATTTTATCTCCAACACTTTGTAACGGCTACAGTCCAATTATCAGACTGTATGTGCTATTTTAACTTTGAAATTGTTAGCTATCGAAGGAGTAATATAGTTGTGTCAAGCCTGAAAATCATGAACGCCATTGTATTTTATTTTGGTGGGAGTATTGCTTTATGAACGCCATCGTCTAATTGTCAATTAGACTATTTATGGCTTGAGTAATATGTTCTATTGCCTCTCTAAGACAGATGAAGTCCACGTCATTGTAGTGTAGCAGATTCTTGATTGCAACCAAAGACAGAAATGGGTGCAAAAGGAACCATTAGAGAACGATATTTGTGCTTATTGACCCTCAAACAGTTATTTGTGCTTCTTGACCCACAAACGATATTTGTGCTTCTTGATTGCAACCAAAGACAGAAATGGGTGCAAAAGGAACCATTAGAGAACGATAATTGTGCCCCGCAAACAGTTTTTTTCCCTGTATTAAAACATTGATTAAGAATGAAAAATTTCACCATATGTAGTTTTTTTTTTTTCTCCATTTTATTTTCTTAGCTTTCGGTTTACTCAAACGAGACAGGCTAGATGTTGCTCATAATCATTCAAAGCTTTATAGTGTAATATGTTTACTAGTGAAAATCTGAAGATTTTAAAGAAATTTAAAACTATTTCATATTTTTTTACAGTGCAGTTTTGCAAGGCTATATATATATATATATATATATATATATAGATGCAAATTGGTAAGAGATGGAATTGTGTACTGATAGACCCCCTATTGTTCACACTTATTCTAGAAAGGCTAGGAAGCAGGCTGGACCATGTGGCATCTGTTAGGAATGAATTATGGGTTTGTTGAGGGAAAACTAATTCTGCTAGAGTGACCTTATAAATAAATGTAAACATGGCATTAGAAGGGGGCAAGAATTGAGTAGAGAAGAGTCCTGTAGCTACTTTCTTATTTCTGTGTTTTCAAATTCAATTAAAAGTTCCCTTATCAATTATGTTCTTTCTCTTTGGAATCTGAATCCTAACAAATTGGTATCAGAGCACGTTGAATCTTGATGGCGCAGAAAAAAACAGACAGTAAGGTTGAAGCAATGGAGAGGGAGGTGGAAGAGCTGAAAACTGAGCTGCAGCGTCTAACCGGTTTGGAACGAACATTGGACAATCTTTCTCAAAACATGACTAGAATCCTACAGGCAGTAGAAGAAACACAGAAAACCATGGCCACCTGGAATCATCCTCAAGCGGCAAAGGAGCTTGCCTTGGGAGGTGACGGGGCCGGAAGTATGGATCGTCGAACCCATGTGACCCAGGGCCCCTTGAAGGAACAACGAGCACCCAACCTTGGAAAACATCAAGAAGGGATGGGCGAGGGTAGTAGTGAGAAGGCAATGGCAGCATCGGACCGGAGTATGGACAGTGGGGATTGGCGTCGAGTTCGCAAATTGGAAATGCCAATTTTCAGCGGGGACAATCCTGATGGATGGGTATATCGAGCGGAGAGGTATTTCGAGGTGAATGGTCTGATGGAGAAGGAGAAGCTGGCAGCGGTAGGTGTGAGCCTCGACGGTAGTGCCCTCTCGTGGCTCCAATGGATGGAAGCGAGGGAGCCCTTTCGGAGCTGGGAATCATTTCGCTAGAAGTTGTTGTTGAGGTTCCGTCCAACCCAGGAAGGTAGCCTCTGTGAGAAGTTTCTGACCATCCGCCAGGAGGGAACGGTGGAGGAGTTCCGGCAGGCGTTTGAGGCCTTAGCAGCCCCGTTAGTGAATCTACCTGAAGAGGTGCTAGAGAGCACATTTGTTAATGGGCTTAAGGCCCACATAAGGGCTGAAATTAGGTTACATCAACCTAATGGGCTAGGCCGCATCATGGAAATGGCCCAAAGAGTGGAAGAGAGGGATCAAATAATGAGGTCTTTTTCCAGCCCATCAGGCCCAAGGGGCTATAAATCAGTTTCTACAGCCCCAATGAGAGGAGACGGGTGATTGGGAGACGGATTTCCCACGAGAATGGTGACGGTGGGAGAAAAGGCGCCGACAACACGCAGAGAACCGATACGGAGGCTGCCGGACGCTGAATGGCGATCGAAGAGGGAAAAGGGGCTATGCTTTAGCTGTGATGAAAAATTTACAGTAGGGCACCAGTGTAAGAACCGAGAATTGAAGGTGATGTTGCAAGAGGGGGAGGCCGACATAGAAGAAGGGGAGGTCACGCTGGAGAGGTGCGACCCAGTGGAGATTCCGGAACTCGTGGAATTATCACTTAATTCTGTTGTTGGGCTGTCTACTCCCGGTACCATGAAGCTTACGGGGTCCATAAACGGGAAGGAGGTAACAATACTCGTGGACTGTGGGGCTACTCACAATTTTATCACAGCCCAACTGGTCAAGCAGCTGGAAATTCCGACGGTGGCAACTACTCATTATGGAGTAGTGATGGGTACGGTGGTGTCGGTGTAAGGTAAGGGGATTTGCAAGGGGGTGGTGGTGGAGATGCAGGGACTGAGAATAGTGGAAGATTTCTTGCCATTGGAGCTAGGGAACATTGATGTTATTTTGGGAATGCAATGGTTAGGAGGATTAGGAAGCATGGAGGTGAACTGGAAACTCCTCACCATGCAGTCTCGGATAGGGGAGAAGGTAGTTACTCTGAGAGGGGATCAGGGGTGAAACCACATTGAAGTCTCTCTAAAAGCTATGGTAAAGGCCCTGCAACAGGAGGGACAAGGGGTTTGGGTGGAATTGAGAAGTCTTGGGGCAGAAAAACAAGGATTGGAGGAGGGGCACTCGGCTATAGAGGTGCAGCCAGTTCTGGAGAAATTCCAGCATGTCTTCCACATGCCAAAGGCGCTACTCCCGAACAGAGAGGTAGATCACGCCATCCAATTAAGAGAAGGAATTGATCCGATTAGTGTGCGACCTTACCGGTATCCCCATATTTAGAAGAACGAGATTGAGTTTTTGGTTCGAGAAATGTTGGACGCAGGGATCATATAGCCTAGCTCTAGCCCCTACTCTAGTCCAGTGCTGTTAGTAAAAAAAGGATGGCAGCTAGAGGTCCTGTGTCGACTATAGGGTATTGAACAAGGCCACTATACCGGATAAATTCCCTATACCTATTATCGATGAATTATTGGACGAACTGCATGGAGCAACCATATTTTCAAAGTTGGACCTGAAATTCGGTTACCATCAGATCCGAGTTAAGCCAGAGGATGTGCCTAAAACAGCGTTTCGGACACGGGGGACATTACGAGTTTCTAGTAATGCCGTTTGGGCTAACCAACGCCCCAGCCACGTTCCAGTCGTTGATGAATCAGGTGTTCCGCGGGTATTTAAGGAAGTTCGTGTTGGTGTTCTTTGACGACATTTTAGTATATAGTAAAGATGTGGCTGCACATGCCCGACATTTGGAGATGGTGTTTGAGGTGTTGGCGTCACACCAGCTCTATGCCAATGCCAAAAAGTGTCAGTTTGCCAAGGCCCAAATCGAGTATTTGGGACACATGGTTTCACGGGATGGGGTAGCCGCAGATCTGGAAAAGATTGCAGCTATGACCAGCTGGCCGCCCCCTCGGAACATTAGGGAGTTGCGGGGATTTCTAGGCCTGACCGGGTACTATCGTCGTTTTGTGGCTGGGTATGGTGAAATTTCCTGGCCTCTTACATAGCAGCTTAAAAAGGATTCTTTTGGGTGGACCGACGAGGCGAAGACTGCATTTCAAATATTGAAGATGGCCATGACCACAGTACCGGTATTGGCTCTTCCAGACTTTTCAATACCCTTCATAATTGAGGCTGATGCGTCGGGATATGGACTTGGGGCAGTCCTTATGCAACACCAATGACCTATAGCATACTTCAGTCAAGTTTTGTCTTCCAAAACTCGCCTCAAGTCGGTGTACGAGAGGGAATTAATGGCAATTGTTTTATCTATCCAAAAGTGGCGGCACTATGTTCTGGGACGTCACTTCATCGTGAGGACCGATCAGCAGAGTCTTAAATATCTGTTGGAGCAAAGGGTGGTTCAGGGAGAGTTCCAAAAATGGGTGACCAAGCTCTTGGGTTTCGATTTTGAGATTCAGTACTGACCAGGATTGGAAAATAAGGCTGCTGATGCTTTTTCACGAGTGACTCCGCCAATAGAACTTTCAGTCATCTCAGCCCCCGTAGTTCTGGATGTACAGGAAGTGGCACGGCAGATAGAAGATGGCCCCCAGCTCTCTAAAATTAAGAAGGAACTTCTGGAGGACTCAGAAAAACACCCCAGTTATTCAGTTGAGCACAATCAGCTGCTTTACAAAGGGAGGTTGGTTATTCCGCATACTTCTTCTCTCATCCAAAAGCTCCTCCATGAATTTCATAGCAGCACTTTGGGGGGGCATTCAGGGTTCTTAAGGACCT